TCTTAATCCAGCTCTCCCGGTCTGTCACAAATACAGCAACTAGTGGTATCCATGTATCGAATTCTATCACAGCTATAATTCTGGTGGGGGAATACCGTAGCGTATCTACCACTACAAAATTACAACTAAAATTCACTAGTATATAAGACTCGCTTCAATTGTGTCAATAAGACTCGACTCAATTGATGCTAACTCGACTCTATGTCGTTGTACCTTTTCATATATGAAGGTTGACATTGTCTATAACTACTCTTCCCCCACATAATCCGAAGTCAAACATCACTGACTGCGGTCAGTGTGCGGGTGGGTGCAGGGCTAAAGATAATAGAAGGACTGGTTCACTCCTTTGAAGTATCTCTCGCCGCGCCAATCCTCCAACGTCACTCTAGTGACGTCACTTTGGCGCAAAGCTCGCACTTTTACTTCAAGAACGGAACGCGAGATATTCTAAGACACTTGTTATTTTCTATAATGACTTTCCTCAGTTTTTGTAGTGAATTTACAAGAATTTAAAACTATTATCGAAATGCCAGTTTGCGCGATTGCAACTTGCAAAAATTCTGATATAAAAACAAAAGGAAAAAGTATAATTTTTCGCGTGTTCCCTAAAGTAAATGAACAACTATGTAAAGAATGGATTCCGAAATGACACAGTTAATATAAAACAGCAATACGTTTATTCTGTCGTAAAGAACTTTTATAAAAATTCATTATCTAAATAGAAACCGCCTCGTTACTTCATAAAGAAAGGCAGGTGAAAAGAATTAAAAAATAGATAAAGTCAAAGAAAATTAAAATGTAAGTAAAAAGTATAAATAAAATATATAGTATATAGTTGAAATTCTCCTAATTTCATAACATATTTTTTAATGTAGTTATTCTAAATATTTATGATTTTTTTTAAAAATTATATTCTCTTCAATTTAAATATCTATAAATTATATCATCGTAAATTTAAATGTCTATAAACAATTGTAAAATTTCTAATGTCATTATGAACCTAAATTATTATTTTGTTTCAGTAATTAGCGTTTAAGGTTGATGTTTCCTAATGATTAAGTATGAACAAATTGCTATTAACGACATATTTTAAAATCAGGGATTCTAAATTTAACTTAACTTATCGTTATAAAAGAATATGTAGATAAAAAAAGTGTCGATATATGCCTTCATTTTTCTTAATAGTTAAAGTTAAAACTGAACTTTTTAAAATAAAGTATTTATCGTGTCATTTTCACCAACTAGCAAAACATTTTTATAAGTTTAAAATGGTATTTTTTTAATATAATAACCAAGAAAGTTTTTTTTGAACTATGTTTATGAACGGAAATAATGTGTTAATTACGTAAAGTTTGAAGGCTAATAACCAGAAAAAGTCTAACTTATTTTTACAAAGAGAAAGATGCGAAATTATCATATCTTTGCTTGCGATCTCCGAGATCTGTGGACACAGTGACGTCATGAGGAGGGAAATCGTAGCTTCAGCTCTAAGAGCGGAGTGAACTAGCCCTTCTATTCTCTTTAGCCCTGGGGTGGGTGACCACTTGGATCAGTCTGCTTAGGAGCCGAGGGTGTGCGGTATTCGTCCTCGTTAGATTGTTCTACCGTAAAGTGCTCGACTTCGCGTGCAGGTCGTTGGGCTACCGAAGCGGGGGTGCCATCTCCTCCGCAGAGGATCAAAATTGTGATGGCATGTCTTCGGATCTTCATCAGGGATGCTTCCCAGACCGTCGCCAATAGCCCATTGTGCAGCTCTAGTGCGACGTAAATGAACAACAACTAACGGGCTGCGATCTTCATTTTTCCTCCCATTTATCGGATGTCTTTCACCTAACAATCTGCTGGTGTAAGCGATTCGAACGTTCGAATAGGATGCGTTTAATGCTGGGATTAAATTAGATTTCCGATTTCAAAGATAATTTTTACCCAGGTATTTTGTGATTTTTTATAATCATTTACCTAGATATTTTATGAATATATTTCAGACATAATTTTTTCTCTCACAAATTTATTTTTTCATATAATAAATGGATTAAATAATTAGTTTCGGTTTCTAGCTGAACTTGTAATAAAATCTATAATAATCTTGCACAACTTTAAACGTGAACGTTCTTTTTTTCTGTTCCAAATTTTTGAGTATTCTCAGCCATCATAATATGTTTAGTATAATTCTTGCCGTGTTTTTATTAACTTTTTTTTTATCTACCAAAATATTTGCAGTAAAAAGTGCAATTCTTTCTTTGAAAAATTTGGTAAGATATAACTGAGATTAGTGCATAATAAATAAAAAAGATTACTGTAACTAAATCTATATAATATAAATAAGAATTACTATAAATTGTATACTTATTTTAAATCCGACTTGCAATTTTCTATCAGAGATTTGAAAGAACGGAAGCTTTTAGAATGTCTCTTTTGTAATTTTTATAAAGTAGTTGGTCCCGCAGTGGATCGTTAAGACACGGTTCCCATCAGATCACCGAAGTCAAGCATCACTGGCTGCGGTCAGTGTGCGGGTGGGTGACCACTTGGATCAGTCTGCGTAGGGACCGAGGGTGTGCGGTATTGGTCCTCGTTAAACTGTGCTACCGTAAAGTGCTCGACTTCGCGCGCAGGTCGTCGGGCTACCGAAGCGGGGGTGCCATCCCTTCTGCAGAGGATCAAAATTGTGATGGCATGTCTTCGGATCATCCTCCGGGATGTTTCCCAGACCGTCGCCAATAGCCTATTGTGCAGCTCTAGTGCGACGTAAATGAACAAATCAATCAATAAAGTAGTTGATTAGTTGAAATGCATAATTAAGAAACATAATTTAATTTATTTTCACTTGTCTTTTGAGTTGGGTAGAATACAAGTGGGTAATAAAAAGCATGGAATATGAAGAACGGAAATTTTTTCGATATAATCGTTTTGGAATTATTATTAAGTTGCAGATAAATTTAGATGGATAGTTAAGGAACATTTTTATTATTTTTTTATTTTTCTGTTCATATTTTAAAATGCGAAAATGAAAATATATTCGGCAATTTATTTTTTGAAGAATTATGTATTATTTTTAGGAATAAAATTTGTTAAGATTGAGATTAAAAAAAATTCCATAATCATCTTTTTTAAATTTTTCTTGTTAGAAATAGTATTAAAAAAGTAATTGAATAAGAAAAACGTTTTAGAGTTATTTCTTAATCTTCTGTTTGACATTTGACCTTTTTAAAATACTTACTCTTTTAATAAAATGGTAAATAACAAACTTTGGGGTTGAAAAAAATGCATAATTTTCTCTTCTGTTTTGAGAATCTCCATTAAGTATCAGCTAAGTTATTCTAAAGATATTAATTTATATTTATTTGTTATTATTAAACTAGCGTGATTTTGCTTTTATTCAAATAATACTTTAAATAATCTTAATGTATGCGATTAATTCTATTTCAAAAAGTTTTTTACGAATTTATGCAACGTGTAAAAAAAGAGAATTTATTTTGAATTACTTTTGCATAATTCATTTGCATACAGAATGGTAAGTCATAAGAAAAAATATCCTGCGTCAATCAGAAAAACAATCGAAAAAACTTTGTTATTAAAAATGTGTGCAATGAAATTTACATACACAATGGTAAATGATAAGGCAAAAAAAAAAAAAAAACCAGCATCAAATATGAAAACAATTGAGGATATTTTGAAATTGAAAATGTGTTTAATTGAAAGTATTAAAAATATTTGTAACGAGTTAAACTTCAAAAACAAATTTGTGATGGAAAAAAGAATCACGAATTGCCCTTATGGTTAGCAAATTGTTAGGTGAAAGAAATCCAATAGATGGGACAAAAAATGAAGATCGCAGCCAGTTAGCAAAATCCGTTCGAAAGCGAGAGGTTTCAGTGTTTAACGTGACGTATGTGTTTAACGTGACGTCATTTTTCGTTCGAGAGTGTTTAACGTGAGTATAAACGTGACGTCATTTTTCTATCCCTAGCTCGTTCGATGGTTGCGAATTCAGAGCTCACGGTTCCCAGCAGAGCACCGAAGTGATCACCGTGTGGGTGATAACTTGGATTAGTCGGTGTAGGGACAGAGGGTGGGAGGCTTTGGTCCTCGTTAAATTGTTCTACCCTAAAGTGCTCGATTTCGCTTGCAGGTCGTCAGGCTACCGAAGCGGGGGTGTTTCCCAGACAGTCGCCTATATCCCATGGATGATGTTTTCTACACTAGGGAACGCTGAAAGCTCGGGACTGCCTAAATTTCCGGGTTACTGTTTCAGTTGTATGTTAAAGGCATTTGGCATCATTGTGTTTTGAGATTCTTGAAACAATGTACAGTAAAACTTGTGTAAGTTGACCACTTGTGGTGCATTGTTTTAGTGGTCAACTTAGACAAGTGGTCAACCTATAGAGGGGGTGGGTTTACTTTTTCGTTTCCTATATCATGTTGCTATATATTTAATTTTTTTTTTTACTTGACTTAAAAATTTGATTTAGCAAATGGCCAAATGAATATCTCAAGAAATGTGTTTAAACCTAAACGAACTTCAATTTGTTACACAGAAATAATTTTAATATTTAACTAACTTTTTAAAAAAAATTATTTTGTTAGTTATGCATGTGAAGTGTTTAATAAATATAATTTCCTAAAATATCAGAACACGAAAACATGTAATTTGAAAACTTTAACAAAATAAAATTATTTGAACACTTTAAAATTTATTTACTACACTTAAAGATCAAAGACCATAAATAAAGGATCAAAGCATATTTCAGAGCATTCATTTATTCAAATGGTCACTATNCCCAGAATTACATAATAACATTAATATCTTATGAAATACGGCAGATTTGAGCTCAGAAATTATCTAATTTATTTCTTTTATTGAAAACAAAATTATCCGTTTGAAAACATCGCCTATCAGAATAACATGTAGTAAGCAGCTGCAAACTTTTTAACCGGAACTAGAGTAGGTGCCGAGTTCGAGATTGTTATTATTTACATTCCTATTGAAAACACCATCCATTGTGCAGCCCTGTAACGTAAATGAACTACAATAACAACAACAATAAACCGTTCTTAAAAATTAGTGTGAATTCCAGCTCCGGCGGATATTTAATCGGATGTCGGACCCTTGGCTGTTGCCATTTTAGAAATTAATAGTTTGTTTCCGCTTTAAAATCTTTGAAATAGAGTTTGACGTCACATGATATTTTGATATTTTTCTATAATAGCATTCGTTTTTTAATCAAGATTCAGTTTAGAAAACTTCATCATCATAACAAGCGGGAATTTAGTTGTCTGTCCGTTGCATCGTGGTAAGAAGATTAGGTTTTATTTCTCCAACGATTGAATATCTCTTATTAAATTGATTTTACCACAATCGAAATTTGATCGTTGTAGAAAACTTTTTAAAGTTAGTCATCGATGGTATTTTTGACAATAATTCACTTATAATTAATTCATTACAGAGAGAACGTGCTAAAGTTTTTTCATGCTTCTGTTTTCAATTTTATGTTATTAAGATTTTTGTATGTAAACAATTAAATTTAATCATCTTTTCAGTATTGAGTTTCCTGCAGATGATTACTTAAAATTTCATCGCGGTTCATTTCGACTATTAAATTTTTTGTTTGTTATTTGAGTGTCAGTGTGATTTGTTATTTATGTCGTTTTTCTTTTTTTCAAAATCTAAAATTTATAATTAAAATTAGATTCCCATTTTTTAGATCCATTTTTTTTTCTGATAGATTAGTTCAATCGAAAACTAATTTTTTTTAACTGCCCCAACCGCTCTTACATCCTACATAATTTTATAAAAATTTAAGTTTCTAATTTTTTCCAGGGATACCAATTCTGAATATAGAGCTATAACAAGTACAGCTATATATATTTTGTAACGTAAATTGTTTACGATGTATTGTAAATTCATATTTAATTAAAATAATTATTTTAAGTTTTTGATAATAAATATATGTAAATTCAGCTAAAAAGTGGTTTAAGTTATGAATCATATAAAATTTAAAGAAAGCTCTCTTTCAGCCTTCTTGGCATAACAAACTGACTTTGTTAGAATTTGATTACTCAGAGATTCCGCTTATGAGCTATAGCACTTCAAATGGGCCATAAATTGTGAATACAGAATGAAAAAAAAAAAGTTATATCCTGTGTTATGCATAATTGTCTATTGTTCTGAACAAAAATTAACAGGACAGATTTGTTTTTTTTGTTAGTAGGTAAAATTAAAAAGAATTTTTTTTTGTTCTCTTTTGTATAGTTTGCCACTAAAGTTAAGCACATATAAAATTTTTCAATAAATTCTGAAATAAAACTTTTTTTCCCTAATAATTTTCTTAATGTGTAATACATTGATAAGATAGGATACTATGGGCAATAGAATAAATAGCTTAAAAATTAATACATAAAATAAAATATGTATTCACATTTTTACCAGTTTTAGCTGCCTCATTTGATGAGTCATTTTTTATATCAACTGGAACACACAGTTTTCCATTGTAAGAATATGTTTTCTACATTCATATTCAGTTATTTTTTAATGTCTTTTTTTCTATTGCAGCACTGATAAGTACAGTTTTCCGTTCCCCATATATGACTTGCAATATATTCTAACATTTTTTATCCTTTTAGTTCATATCTAAATAGAGTGCAGTTTAAAATTGTTGTATTTTTAACTGTAAGACATTATTTTATAGACGTAGATTTAGGCATAAGATCTTTTGAAACAATATGGCTCATTTGATTTTCCTTGTCATTTGTTTAGTGACTTCAGTTGATTTTTGAATTTTTTTGTTTTCTTTGTATAAGTTGTCTTATACAGTTTTTTCATATCATAATTATAGTTTATAATTCATAACAAACACTGGAACTGGGCATATGTTTTGCTCTGAAAAATTTATTGAACTAAGATTTCTGAAATAGATATTTCTTCAAATTTTATTATCAGAATTGAAAAAATTTCTTCATGTGCATATTGTTTGGATCTTAGCATTATGAATAAAAGTTGAAATAACCCCAAGGTTCATAATGACAGCTGAAAATGTAGCAACTTTCTAATTTGGTGTAATTTGTTAAAAATCTAAATTTATCTAATCTTGTGTTTAAACTTTTTTTTGAACAGTTAAGATTTGAATTTTTATTCTAATTGTCTCTGTTTACTACACTTGCAATAAAATAATTGGGAAAAAATCTGTATTTTGAGCTTTATAGAACAATTCTAAGTGTGCCTAAACTTATGACAGCAGAAGGAATATTAAATGCAGATGGCTACAGACAATCTAGCCTAATGTGGTAGAAAATAGGCCAGATGATTAAAAAATCAGCTATGGAAAGAGGAAGGTGAAAAAATGAGAAATGCTGAGACTGTCATTATCTGACTACCCCCTCTTATCATTCTGCCTTTCGCTAAACTCTTAAAGTTGCATATTTTGACTCCTTTTTGTCAGAATTTTTAACATTTTGTAATTTATTTTATTAATAAACAGTTCATATTTTAACATTAGTTTTTCTTATAAGTAATGTTTTTAATTGCATGGGGAGACAATGTAGGAAGAACTCCGTCTGATCTAGCTTTTATTAAAATTTATTTATTATCTGTATGGACTGGCTAAAATCCACTCGCTTGGTTTGTTATATTTTGAAGTGTTATTAGTTTTTTATGCAATTAAACAATGTCTGTGTAAAATAATATATCTTCTAGACTCAATGCAACAACTGAGCATTTTTAAGTTTCAACAGCTTGAAAAAAATTATGGCGGAAGCTGCCGGTAGAAGAAATATTTTGCGGGACTTTTGTACCCTTGTTGAAAGAGGTAAATCTAAAATTGAATGAAATTTTTTCTTTTTCGGCCTAAGTCTTCTTTAATTTCGTTTTAAGTCATAAGAAATATTTTGATATCAACATCAAATATATACCAGTTTCTCATTGTTTTTTTATTACTGCTTTTTAATTGTTTTTTTTTCTATTGAAATTTCCACTGTGTATATTTTTTGCATTAATATTTAAACTATTTTTTGTTCATTATTAATAGTGTATTTTTAATAGCCTGGTATTTAATTTATATCAGGGGTGTGCAACAGTATTGAATGAATTCAAGAGTTGTATTAATGTGTAATTAAAAAATCAGGATTTTCAAAACCATGTGGAAATGCATAACAATAACTAACGAAAAACATTTGAAAAATAGCTTGGGTTTGGATAAAATTGCCACAAGTAAAGCACATCTAAAGTGATTACATAAGAATGTGTGATTTGAAACTCACAAGTCATAATATGGTATTAAACATATCAGTATTAAAAAGAGCACAGGGAAATCCAACAATAACTGCTGAAAACATGATTAGAAAGTCACTTAGATTAACATTGAAATGGAAGCTAATTAAGAGCTTTAAAAGTGATTACTAAAATTCAAAATTATGTCATATTAATATCTTCGTAGTTATGTCATATAAAAAATATTAAGCTTTTTAAAACATAGACAAAAAGTATTATAGTTTTTTTAAAATTATGTTTAGTTGCCGCATTCTGCACATGTAAAACATGCAAGCTGCAGGTTATACTCTCCAAATTTATATGAATAATGTTTCCTTTAATTTCTTTAACTATTTTGCAGTTTTTAGAAGATTACACCAGCCTTATGTAACTTAATTTATTTTTGGTCTTTTGACTTTCAGGTGTAGGAAGTAGCTTTTATAACTCGAATTTACCACCTACTCCCACTTCTCCTGAACAAAATATCATTGAAAATCGTGGTCTTCAGAAAAAGCCAGCTACCTATAAGTATGGTAAGTATTTTCATGCTAAATTTTAAAAATTATTTGCTTTAATGTTTAAGACCAATATATCTTTCTCTGGATTTTTGTTAATTTAAAAATTATATTTTAAGGAAATTAATAAATTAAACTTAAATAGTAATTTTATTGTAAAGAAAAATATAATTGCTCCACTTTTTCTAAGATTATTTTAGGTCTTGCATATTTTCAATATTCAGCTTTATCTATAAAATGATTTAGAGTAAGTAGATTTATAATTTATCTTGGGTGAATGACCAGTGGGTTGAGTATTTATCCCTGCCTTGGGTCACTATCCAAAATCAGTGTATCTATAGTTTTTTTAGTCTGCTTTATTAAATATAACTGTGATATGTTTTGATAATAGAGCATATCATAATTTTCCAGTTTTCTCCCTAAGTGTTTTTAGAAGAGTGGTCCAACCTGCCTGCCACTTGATCGTTATAAATGTGCCCTTTCTGTTAAAATAAGCTGCCATCCCTTAAAACACTGCCTTTTTATTCTTATTCTATTTTGAAAAAAGAAAATAATTCACTGATTAAATAATTACGCACTGGTAAAATTATTTGTGCATATAGGTTTAATTTTGATTTCTATTACAAATATTTACTTTGTTAGGATTATTCTCCACTGGGTCTCTTTTTTGCAGGGAGGATATAAATAAATGTTTTAATGATTTTTTAAATAAATCTCATTTTTTTGAAAAAATGATTATTTTGAATGTATATTTTCTCATAATTTTCAGCTTAAATTAAAGAAAAATGCTTCCAAGTTGTGAGTAAATTATGCATTAATAATTTTAGTTAATTTTTTTTATTTTTTTTTTTATTCTTATTGTACTTGCCAGGTTTAGTGTATTCATTAATTTATCATCCAAGTGATAGAAAGGTTATCTAACTTGATAGGATTTGGATTGTCTTTGAACTACTTTGTTATCATTTTGCTATTAATCTATTCTTCTAAATGTTTAATTCATTTTAAATTATATATTTTTAAATTTTAGAAAATGAGTAATTATTTTAAAAATGTGAATGAAAAATTTAAAAAAAGAACAAATTAAAGAATCATTCATTTTAAACATTTTTCAAATTATTCACAATTGTAGCATTTAAAAAAATTTGCATATTTAGAAGAAAACATTAACAATTCATAAAAATTTATGTAGTTACAAACTTGCATCCTAACTAACCAATAATCTGTTTTCTGTTTCAAATATTTTTTAACCTATAGACTGCTGTAATTTATAGATGCCCTAATCTTGTTTTCTTTAGGACTTCTATAAAACCCCTTAAAAAAAGCTTGTGTGGCAAAAAAACCACAGAAATTAAAATTATAACAAACCTGCATTCTTACTTAGAACCAGGGTTGGGTTTTTGACGTCAAAAAGTGGTTTTTGACATGACAAGGGTATAATACTGGTTTAAACTGTCAAGAACTGAAGTTTGCCAAGAAAATATATAAACTTCAAAACTACCAACAGTTGCCATGCATTATATTGAAATTTAATTATACTATAGGTAATCAGCAGGTTTTAAAATATTTTTTAATTAAAATTAAGGTAAAATAACAGATTTAAAATCTCAGAAATTTATATTCAAATGCATGTGCAGAAAAATTTTGCACAAAAATTGTTTAAATATTTATATTTAAAAAAATTTTTTTTTTCTTTTTGATACTTAAGAAAATTAAAAGTTTATTACTATGCATTTTTGACATATAAGGAACATATAACTAATATTTATAAGGAACTTACAAGTTATGTTGTATAAATACAAACTTGATATAAGATACAAGTGTATAAAAATTTTTTTTTAATGTTATACCGAATATCTTTATTATCCAGTATGTTAATTTGAATTTAAAAGTAGTTATATTTATGAATAATGATAAATATAATTCATATTGTTTATTATATTTATTTATAATTATTACACTTATCATTTTAAAACAATTTTTATCTCTTAATTTTTTTTTCTCCACTTGTATTAAGAATACAAATAATGCATATCTTGAAAGCAAGAAGTAATTATTCAACAGCTGAATATTTAGATATTCAACAAAACTATATAGTATTCAGCAAAATGAAATTCACAAGTATTTGGATAAACTAAATTTTCAGCATAGTAAATGAATAGGCTGAATATACTGTAAATCGACACTAACTACTCTGTGTATTTAACAGAAAGCACTTAAATTTGTATTGTCTTATGTTAACTATGAATTAAAAAAAAATTGAAGATTTAAAATTCTGAATTACTGATTTTTCTGAAAAACTAACAACCAATCACAAAAATCAAACTAAACAGAAGAACATTACAGTCACTGATCCGTGAAATATTTAAACAAATTATTATGGAAATTCTAATTAAATTAAAATTATTATGTCTAAATTTTAGTACAATCTATACTATACACTAAATTTGGTTATAAATAAATTTCTTAATAATATCACTGCAGATTTTCAATAACACATGAAAATGAATACATAATATTACAAAAGATGTGAGCTTTCAAAAGTACAAGATTTTGGTTATTATTAAAAATATAAGTGTTTCTTCAAAATTTTAAATTTATTTTTTCTAGAACATATTTAGAAACATTATCCTTTATGGTTGGTTGGTGTCGTATCCTCTATAGAATCATATTTCATGGTGTGCTTGAATAGTTTTTGTTATTTCTATGGCATTAAAAGAATACAAATCCTCTTCTGTGGATTATCCTTTATAAAAAATATATAAATTTTATGTATTAATTAAATTTCACATATGAATATAGGTTTTTGACATTTTCAACATTTTTGACAGTGAGGTTTTTGATGTGACGGTTTAAACCGTCAAAAACTGTCACATTTCAAAAACCTGCCAACCCTGCTTAGAACCAATTTGTTTTCAGTTTCAAACATTTTTCTCACCTAATAGAGTACTGTATTTTATAGATGCCCCAGATCCAGTTTTCTTTAAGACTCCTACAAAATCCCCCAAGAAAGCTAGTGTGTTTCAAAGATTGTCATCACCTGTTAAAACCCCAGTACGGTCATCCCCAAGAAAGAGACTAAATATGACACCTGAAAGTATTGTTTTAAATGAAGAAGGTTTTGCTGAACTGACAATTGCTCCCAAACGTGTAAGTATTTTTATACTATTTTTCCTTTCATTGTTTGCTTGGATGACCTTAACTTTTTCCTTTCTTAATCTGAAATTCATTATGCTTAAAGGTACTGAAATTCATTGTTGTGTTTTTAGTCAAAGTAAAGACTTTTTTGTAAGATTTTTTATTTATTTATCTCACAACTTTTTTTTGTTGCTAGTGTCTTTATGCCTATCATTATTTCAAATGTATATATCAAACAAAACTTTTCTTTAGGTGAAAAGAGAGCCACTGAAAAATGTAAAGCCTAGCAATAATTTTGAAAAAAGTTTAAAAGCCCTTAGTCAATCACAGCTTGTTGAACTTATTAGTGATGCTATGAAGTCCACTCCTGAACTTAGTGAGGTAAATAATATCACTCTTTTAAGCATTGTAATGAGTTTTTCTAATGAGTATTTTAAATATTTTAACAGATAATTTAAATCTATTGGAACCAAAGAAAAACTTTTTAGGTGCTCAAACTGATTATGAGCTCTAATTACTTTTAGCACAGTTAGTCCATTCTAATATTTACTACTATTGAATAACTTCACTACTCCATAGATGTCCAAAAATCTCTGCTTGAACCAGTTCACGGGACAAAGTCAATCTCTGCTCTGTAATGTGTTTGGAGCATTATTGATTAAAAAATCATAGCATTCTAAATTTTTTTTTTTTAACTTCAATTGTAACATTGTTATATGTTGTTTATTAATATCACTTCGTTCATGGATAGGCGTTTTGAAGATTTTTGGATGCCATCTAAAAAAGGAGAACCTATAATCAAGTTTTTGAAGATGATTATTAAAAGGAATTTCCTGTTCTTAAATACTCAAGAATGTCTTGTATCATGGATACTGTGTCATATGTGATAAGGATTTTACTACTGCACATGGTATGATAAGCACATTATATGATGCACATAATAAGCTTTTATAACTGTAGGTACTAGATGAAATGTGAGCGACAAAAAAAATACACCAAGAATAGCTTCTAACAGAAAAAACCAAGTTCAGTTATTCTGGGTAGACTTTGCAAACTGCGAATCTTTAAGACCCAGGATCCTTTTTTACTAAAAGTTCAACCCTATGTGTAAAGTATTATAAATCTATATTTAAATTATATATACAGTCGAACCTCGATTTCATGAATTTTTCGATATCTCGAAGAAAAAAAATTCCCTTCAAATTTCCTATACACTCAATGTTAAAAAAAACTTGATTTCACAAATTTGTTTTTCTAATCTCTTGATAACTTGAATTTTTTTTCCATAAATAGTGTAGATTTTTTTTCTAAAATTAAAAAAATATTCCAAAAAAATAAAAAAATTTAAGAATGGCTGACAGGGCATGGAATGATGTGTCTTCCTCTACGATAATGAATGGCTTCAAGAAGTCTGGATTCATTAAAGATCACAAAAGTAGTCAAACAATCAATATCGTTAATTCTGCTGAAAACTACACCGAAAATGATTGGAACAGATTGACTGGACTCGTGAAGCTTGATGACATGGAATTTCATTAGTTTGTAAACATAGATGATGCAGTAACAGTGTGTGGTCAGTGGGATGACGATATCATCGCTCAAACGAAAGCTTGTGAACTATCAGAAGAAGGGGGTGAGGAAATCGAAGATTTACCGCCCAATGTTACTAACAAACAAGCACTTTCTGCAATGGACACTGTAAGGAGATTTATTGAGAGGCAGCCGAATATGTCAGAGGAGACATTTAAAGCTATAGTTCACTTAGAAAGTGTTATAAGACAAACTTTCTTACACATCTCTAAAGAAAACAACTATTGAATCTTTTTTTAAATGAAAGTGTAAAAAGTGTTTTTAGAATACATATGGAATAGTAAATAAGGTATGTAAAGAGCATTTTTCTTCATTCTACCATGGATAACATGCGATTTTCGATAAATCGAATTTTTTCTCCTCTCCCTTCAAGTTCGAGCTATCAAGGTTTGACTGTATATATAAAATAAATATTTGGAAAAAAAATGGAATTAGTTATTGATTCAGTAATAATAATAATTCATCCGAAGTAATAATTCAACCAAAAATTAAAGCCATAATTTCTATAGGAATTCAACTCAAAATTATTTTCACTTTCTTCTTTTTATGAAAACAGAAGAATTTTTTTTTTTTTTTAAATGTAAGTTTTAATTTTTTTACACAGCTCTGTCAATGCACTTTTTTTATTATTTTTGCAGTGGAAAATTATGCATTCCAGAGATGCATTGCAATCTTTTCGCTCTCCCTTATGATTTTCGCTGCATTTCACCATCCGATTTAGCTTGTTTAAACTGGAATTTCGCTACAGAAAAATAAAAAATTTGAATGCAAAATAATAAATTTTAACTTTGTAAAGTTTTTATTCAGATAATTTTTGCTTCTCATGATACATGAATCTTGAAGAAACTTATGCTTATGATCGATAATTTAGTTTGAATATATTATGAAAATATTGGGTTATGTTAAATTAATAATTTAATAATATTTATTTATTACTTAAATATTTGATTAAAACCTTTTACTTTTTATATTGAAATTTTTTTTATATACTATTTCAAGTTGCTTCTAAATTTTTATATCTTTTGATTACAAGTTTATTTTACTTTATTCTTTAGAAATATTTATTGTGTTCTATTTTGAATTAATTTTATCTGTGTAAAGTGCGAGATCTTCAAATTAAAGTTAATAAATAACTTGATATTAGATAATCTTGTTAATACTTTTTTTATTTTCTGATTCGATACTGGAACATTTCTAGCTGTTCTAGAGGGTCTAAAAGATCAGTTATTGGAAAAAAGAAAGAAACCTTTTCCTTTAAAATATATTTAGTTATTTTTTGTAACAATGACTTTTTGAGGAAGATAAAAGTTTCTCCTATCTTTTTGCTTTTTCAATGTTTAATTTTGCATCTGTGTAATGTCTACTATGACAGTTGTAATTGCACCAAATTGAAAAATTTATTTTCTTGGTATTTAGACTCTAGTTAAATTGGTGCCAGAGCCAGATCTTACACCAGTTGATGCTAGATTGAGTGTGTTACAACGTACTGTTAACAAGTCATTACCCCGCAATGTATGGGGTTCCCAAGACAGCTCTTTTACTTTTTTGCGTGTTAGATCTCACTTAGAAGCCTATAAGGTAAGTTTTTTTCAATCAATTTATCTTTGTGAATGTTTCTTTTTAATTTTGATTCATTTTTTCCCTGTGAGAACTATTAAGTCCTAAAATTTAAGTTAAACCATAAGAAAAAAAATCACACTAATTGTTTTTAAATTGTTATGTGCCTTATTTTCAAATTTAGCAATTACTTAATGTATTATATCATATCCCTGGCTAAAAAAATTGCAAATAATTTAAAATTGATAATTTTGCAGCAAAGCTGTTACAGAATTGGCAGGGGAAGAAATTGTAAACCAAACTCATCAGAATTAGATTTTTTGTTAGGCAATAAATTGTTGTTAAAAGCTTTAAAGTTTATTTTTAATAGAACTTCTAAAATGTCAAAAATTGATTAATAATTCATATTAGATAAATTACTTAGTAGGAGAAAGTATTGAGACTATGGTATGGTATTACCAAGTTTATACAGACTTATAATAGTGCTTGAATTTTTTTCAGTTTTCAAGGCCTTTAAAAATTTTCAATTTTATTTGAAAAGACTTGACATTGCAAATAAAAAACTGCAAGTGATCAACAAAACTGGCTTTAGAACAGTAATATGGAATTGAACTCATGTATTTTTATATTACTTTAGGATCATTCTTTCCAAAGGTGCCTTCACACTTATTATTGATTATGATGTTTTAGTTAACTTTCAATTTACTTTGAATTTTTAGTTTTGCAAACTTTAGCAAATGAGTGAAATTCCTTTGTTTTATGTACATTCTAGAAACACAATTATCACAGCAGTTGTGAGATTTTTTTTAACTGCATTGCTTGATTGTAAGTGTATTATCAATAACACTTTTCCTTATTCCTCTTTTGACTAAGATAAGGTTATTTTAGATATTAATAAAAGTAAAGCTAAATTCAAGTAATGTGGCAAGCTTTGCAAAAATGGGAAATGTGCCTTGAAGAGTAATAAAAAATTAAACATGGATGAAGAAAAATATTTTGTTTTTTGTTATCGAAATTGTCTAAAAAATATAAGCAAAACTGTTACATCAAAAAACATAGTTTAATATATTTTATTTTCTGTCATAGTGTCTGTTGTATTGTTCTTAAACCATTATCTAGAAATGTTATCCTTTCTCCCTGCTAAATAAGCATACTTATAATATTTTGTTCCTAAGCATTTATGTATTTATTTAATTTTTTTTTACTCCAGAAAGAATATTCTGCTAAAGCTTTATTGTAATGCAAATAAATATTATATAATAAACATGTCATGTTATACTGATTTCAGGCTTAGACAACTAAAAAAGTTATCAACTCATCACAAGTTGTTTTTGAAATTTTAGTGTTTTTTTCTCTGAAGGTCTTTGAATTTTGTTCATATTTTTGTGTGTGAATCATAGAATCAGTATTAGTTGTAATTATACATTATATTATAAATTACATAAATTAGCATTTATGTAATTTAGCTGTAAACTGAATTGAATTTACTTTTTGTTTTGGAACAGCATTAGTTATATGATCAAAAATATTGTTAGCTATGCTGGAATAGTTCTTTATACCAAAGGATTTTATGAAATGCTTATTGTCATGAGTCAATCTAGGAAGAAATTAAGTTTGTTTATGGACCTTTCACAAAATTCTGATTTCTAAAAACAGTTCCTTCACAAAATTTCAAATTACTTAAACGGACTTTTTTAAAAATCTATGACGATCTGCTAAATACTAAATTGTGTTTTCAACTTAGAGTAGGGCTGCACAACCTTTTTCAGTGAAGGGCCACATGCACAGCAGATTGATCAATGAAGGGCCACATGCCAAAGTGTCTAGACCAACATATTGAAAGCAATTGTTGGTGGTGATTGTTATATAAACATCATTGTTTATATAACACTAAATTCTTTTTGTCGGTTAACCTTGTAATCTCTTTGCAGAAAATACAATACTTTAAAACGTTTAAAATTAGAAAATGCAAAACTGATTACTTAAGAAGGAAAACAGAATTCGAAAATCAGAATCAATTTATCGGAAAAAATTTAGATAAATTGAAATAATTAAAAAACTATGGAAAAATTGAAATTTTTTTTATCACATTACAAAATACAAAAGTCCATTTAAACATAAATTTTAACGTTAATTTTTTTTTCATAGAATTAAATTTCAAATAAATAAATATTCTAGTCATTAATATAAATTCAAGTTAAATACTTTGATTTAAAGAAAGTTTATAGGGTTAAAAATGATTAAAACTAAAACTAAACCCCTTAAGTGGAAAATAAGACTTAGCATTTATTAGGGAATGTACTTTATCTTTCAGACATTTTTATTTTAAATTAATAATAAGAGGCTATGAGAGGAAAGAAAAAGAAAGAAGAAAACACATTAAATTTTAAGGAACTATATTCCTTAATAATAAAAAACTATTAAGATACTTGTTTACAACTTTTTATGACGAATATATTTTTAACATGACACTTACTATTTACAATTAATACACAATCAATTAACAATCAATAAAATTTACATTACTTTTCGAAACTTATCTTGATTAAATTTTTTATACAGTTAAAATTTAATGATATACAAATCATTTCCCAGCATATAATCATAAATGATATAAAATGCTCCAAGAAGGTAGAAAATGGTTTAAAAAATTTCTTAATGGTTATACTGTAATTTGCAAAATTTTTGAATATTGTGATAATTTTATCTACTTGATCATGTGATATTTTTTGAGCCATTAAATGAAAATGTAATGATTGTATTTAAAGACTACTCTGTAATTTTGAACAGGCCAAATTCATTCTGGAAAACAGTCTTTCGACAGAAGCTGTTGTTGTGGGTAGTATTAAACTTAGAGCAAATAACATAATCAGTTTTGGAATTTGTCCTAGATGGTGTTCTTCCTTTCTGGGTTTTTAAATCGCGGAAATACAAATAGCGATGTGTTATTTTTTAATTGCTTGAATACGAATTGCTATGTGTTATTTTTTAATTGCTTGAATACGAATTGCCATGTGTGATTTTTAAATTGCGTAAATAAAAAACTCGATGCTTGTTTTTCAAATCGCGTGAATACGAATCGTGTGGCTTTTAAATTGCGAAAGGACTACTCACAACACTTGATTTTTAAAATGCATGAATATGAATCGCGATATATGGTTTTTAAAACGCGTGCATATGAATTGCGAGAAAAGTAGCAACGGATGATATTTTAAACGCCAGAACACGAATCGCGATATGTGATTTTAAATCCCGTAAATACGAAACGCGATGGATTATTTTTAAATCTCGTTAATGTTAATACGAAATGCGATGCGCAATTTTCAGATAGCGTAAATACAAATTACGATGTATGACTTTTAAATTACATGTGACAACAAAAAGAATAGGTTCGATGTGTGTTGTTAAACTTGCACGTGTTCATGGGACTAAAGAATTATGCCGTTTTTTGAATTATTTATTTTTTTATTTTTTTTTTTGCAAAACGGACCGCATTTAAACACATCTAGGTTTTTTTTTTCCTGGGAAGGTGTTGATTTGGCTAAGATACGTAATTACTTTTTAAGTTACGAAAAAAAATTAAAGCTGAATCGAATTTCACGAGTTGTAATACTGTGTGAAAATATCAGGTATATTCTAAATCACAAATAAAAATGCAGCAATAACGGGAAAGAAGAAAAAACACTTTCGAAAAACCTCTTAAAAAATTCGTGTTAAAATCGGTACAACGCAAATGATAAAATCGGCACAAACAGAGCACGTAAAAAATAATTATTTTAATGCGCGATTCAAAACTCGCTTGCTGTCAAAGTATTAAAAATATCATAATCTTTTTAAATCACGGGGAAAACGTAATAACTACTAAAACAATAACCAAAATACTTTAATATTTTAGATGAAATTGGAGTAAATAAAGTCCATCAAAATTTTATGTAATTTAAATGCGAGATTTGAAATTAAAATGTCGCAATAGCGTATAAAAAATATCGGTACTTTCAAAACCTTGTAGAAATGTGTAGCAATAATTTCTAAAATAACGATTGAAAAATAATTTGATTTGCGATAAAATCGTTACAAGTAAGCCATGTCAAAAAAATGGTTACCTAAATGAGCGATTCTTTACTCGCAATTCGCAATAATATGGTGCTAAAATTTCGAAGTTTTAAAAACCGGGCGGAAATTGCAGCAATAACTGTTGAAGAAAGGATCTAAAGTCATTTAGATTTTCCATGAAGTTTCCACAAATAAAGCGTTTCATAACTTTCAAAAATCGCTATTTCAGAAACTACTTGAAAATGGGTAGCAATAACTACTGAAAAGTCATTGGAATCGGCACATACGAAAAGCGTTAAAAGTGGTAATTAAAGTTCGTAAATTGTAATAATGATGTATTAAAAATATTGGGATTTTTAAAACTATGCTGAAATCCGTAGCGTTAACCATCGAAAAACTACATTGATTGAGATTGGGTGCGTCAAAAACTTAAAAGTGTAAATTTAAATTACCGAATTTTTTTTATTATTCTTCAAAAACAAATATTGAATTTTTTTTTTCATTTTGTTCAGATTGCGGCCGCGGGCCGCACATCGAGGGTTGGCGGGCCGCATTTGGGCCGCAGGTTGAGCACCCCTAACTTAGAGGTATTTTTTTTCTCTATGTCAAAACATGAAATTTTTTGTGTGAATTAGGGCAAAAATTGTCCTCTATCATATACATTGAAAACAAAGAAAAGAGAATATAAATGAATAACATCTTCAGATTGTATTCAGTAAGGAAGAGAAAAGATCAATGGCAAAACTAACTAATAAAGGCACATGTCACACTGGTAGAAATTCTTTAATTTTACTGATACTTTTATAAAATTTATTCGATTAATTTTGTTTTCGTAAAATATTTAAATTCCTGTGCTGTTTAAAAAAAATCAAATTCAGCTTTTTCCTAAAAAACTTCCAATTTTTTTAAATTTGGCAATCTCTGGACGTCCTCTGAATGGAAACGTGTTAAAATTATTTACAAAATTATTTTAACACGTCGTGATTTCACAAATCATGTTTTGCATTAAAGTGGTTTATCAGCATTGCAATCTTCAATTAATATTTATGTAAGTCACAGCTCCTTACTTCACATGCTTTTCGAATCATACTATTTGCTTTCCATATTGAGTTGATTTTCATATTTCAAATTGCAAATTAAGCGCGATTTGTGTTTTCTTGATTTGAAAATTACTCATCAAGATTAGATTCACATGACTTCAAATTCAGACATTCTTATTCGTATTCACACAGTTTAAAAATCTTATATAGCAATTAGTATGCTCACAATTTAAAAATCTAATATTGTGATTGCATTCACGTTTTAAAAGAAGAAGCAATAATATTGCCATTCATGTTCACACCATTTTTATATTAGCATCAATTTTCGGAATTACGTGGCTTTAAAGTTGAACGTCGCATTTCATATTTACGCAATTTAAAAATTGCATATTGCAATCCGTATTCATGAGATTTGAAAATCCATTATCGTGATACGTATTCCACATTTTTAAATTCAAATATGGCGATTCGTATTCACACGAGTAGGAAATCAAACGTCACTTCATATCGATGCAATTTATTTTAAGAGTTTCCAAAATTAGTACTATGGATGAAAAGCAATATGTTTACTATTGTTTGAAAGCAATATATTTTGTATCCTACTTATAATTCTAATTTTGTGTCCTAGTTATATTTTAAATCATATTTGTAACATTCAAACTTTATGATCGCCCAGATAATTTAAAATTATTTTCATAATTTTCCTGAAGCTATTTTTTCTTTCTTAATTATTCAAGAATGATCAGAATCTGTGTCCAATTAATCTATATCTAACCGACTCAATAGCTAAGAAATGTAGCTGTTTATATTTCTTAAGATAATATGGCCTATAATTTTGATGAGTTTTATTCATATTTTTAATATTTAAGTATTAAAATGTCATGAAATGAGAGTTAAAAAAATAAATCATTTCTCATTTATAAAAATTATAACTATAATTTATGATTATCTAAACTTAGAATAACCCTTTGAATATGATTTTTTCTTTTTAAAATTGCAAGTGCCTTTTTATTAAGTCACAATTGAGAATTGAAATTGTTTATTGTTTGAATTGCTCTTGAAATTATTCATCCCGTGCTATTTAAATATTATTTTGTTAATGTGATATATTTCCTTTGTGACTATTTAAATATTACACATAATTAAGTTTATATAAATGCTATTTTCCACAAGATACATGGCGAGAATTTTTTTCCCAAAAATCCAAATTATTTTTCTTACTATTACCAAATTATTCACTTAAGTTGATTTTTTTTTTTTACTTAAATTTAAGTTGTAATCAGTTTTTTCACTAATGATAATTTTTTTTTGAAGTAACTTTTCTGTTAAAAACAGTTAATATTTTATATTTTTAGTATGAAATTGTGAAAATAATAATGAACAGAGATATATTTTATGTATGTTTTTTTTTTCTTCCAGAAAGAATGCCTTGAGTATTGTGATCAGTTTTTAGAAAGTGAACATTGGCCAACATTTTTTGAATTTGTATTTATTGCCTGGAAGTACACTTTGCTTTTGCCACAATGGAGTACAGTCATACATAACCGAGCCAAAAATGTTTGTTTAAAACAGATTAGCACCAAATGTATTAAAGCTTTGAATGAAGCTAATCTTGATTATGAAGCATTAGCTGAATTAATCAACAGGTTTGTTATTTATTTAAAAAATGGTTTTCTTTGGTTAGATATGATTTCAATATTCTTTACAAGACTTTTAAATATATTGATCTTTGCTTTGATATTTTTATTCAAAATCATAAGGTTTATTATTAATTAATATAGAAAGATTGAATAGCAATTTAGCCGGAATTAATTATTACAGATTTTCATAAAAAAATTCTATAGTTAATAAAAAATTTTCTAGCTAATTCATATATGTTGCTTTCAAAAGTGTAACTATAGTTTCTACTAGCTAATACTACATTACATTTACGATTGCATCAAAGAACAATTCAAGCTTCATAGTAGAAAGCACTTGCTCCAAACTATTATTGCCGAAGCAATAAATGAAATTGAAATGAATGCTAAGCGTCCTTGTTGTCTCAGTTCTTAGAATATTGTATATCAAAGTGGTACAATTTCAAAATGCATGAAAAAATCTTGATTTTTACTACAAATTTTTGAAAATATCCTTTCAAAATTTTATAAATCAATTGCTCTTTGAAGGTGAACCCATGGATGCTAAATTATTCATGAATTTTGACTGTCATATCCCAACATGTAATGTTTCCATTGATTAAGAAAGTTTTAAACAAACATTTGTGATATGTTTGAAAATGGAAAAAAAAACAAACATAAATCAGAGTTATGAGATAATCAAACAGTATAATTAACGGTAAGGGAAATAGAAGAAAATGATGAAATTTCTGATGCGGAGGTACAAAAAATGAATATATTTCTTGCAAAAATAACCCCTAAAACCAAATTTTATAAATTCTGACAATTAGTGGGGGCTGCAAAGACAAATAAACATTTGGCATAAAAATGGAATGTCGCGAATTTTTGGCATTGGTAAAAAGATGTATGCAAAGTATCAATCAGGGTGGCCACCCACCTGGAATTATCAGGGAATTTTTTTATACTGGAAAATCAGGGAAATTTGGATAAGGTCCTGGAAAAATCAGGGAATTTTAGAGAAAAGCTGGAATTTTTTTCTTAATTTAAATAATTTTACCATCCGTTATATTTACTTTATTTAGATGAATATTTATTGTCGCACAGTTGAAATATCATCAACTGAGTAATACTTTTGCTTGCATTAAACAGGGATGTGATTCTTTCGCGGATTTCCGCTTTTTTGTTTTTTTTTTCAGATTTTTCAATTTCTCCGCTAATTTCCGCGGAATTGTTTTTTTCGTTTTTTTTTCTGCAAGTTAAAATTTTTTGAGGAATTTAATTTTCCGCAGAGCGAAAGTATTGAAGTCCTCATTCCTCCCTCTGAAGTTTCCCTAAAAAGCATTTCCTTGGGATAAAACTGGTTGACCTTTATAATCAGGGGTGAGATTTTTCCACTTTTTAGAGGATTTTTGCTTTTGTCTCTCAAATTTCTGCCTTTTTATCAAAAACTCCGATTATCTAAAAGTTACTTTTTTTTTAAAAATTTTTTTTATTTTTATTATTTATAAATATCCCACTTTTTCTGTGAATATTCAGTCATAAACAGAAAATTCAAACTACGTCCCAGCTGCTAAACCTTCCACCTTTTACTTATTTTAGCTATTTTCTCCGATTTTACGCACAGAAAATAAGATTTTCCTTATTTTTATCCGTTTCCTAATAGTTCATACTTTCGTAATTCAGACGTTGCTGCTTCCTGTTTTTGGCGCGAAAGCAAACGGGGGGAAAAAATGAGGTGGATTTGCGGTGAAAATATTTATTTGCTCATTCAATTAATTTTTATTTATTATGTCTAATTAAAAACAATACAAACAAGCCTTTTAGAAATCCCTAGTCCAAACTCCGCAAATATCTCGATTCTTATTCACGCGATTTTAATATCAATCATCTATTTTTGTATTTGATTTAAAAGTTTCGCATTGTGATTCTTATTTACGCTATTTAAATATCGTACATTATGATTCTTATTTACGAGATTTAAAAATCCAATATCGCGTTTTGTATTTAAACCTTTTTAAAATCGCGATTTTATTATCAAACATCTATTTTCGTATTTATCTGATTTAAAAGTTGAACGTTGCGATTCTTATTCAGGCGATTTAAATATCGTACATCGCAATTCTTATTTACGAGATTGAAAAATCCAATATCGCAATTTGTATTTAAGCGCTTTTAAAAGCTTATGTAGCGATTCGTATTCACGCGAGCTTAAAATCCAATGACGTGATTCGTTTTTGCGGTTGTAATATCAAACATAGATTTTTGTATTGATGCGTGCCTTAAAAATTAGACATAGGGATTCATATTCGCACAATTTAAAAATTATGCATCGTGATTCGTATTTACGTGATCTAAATATTACGCATCATGATTTATTCTCTCAATTTAAAATCATGCATGCGATGCATACATGCATTCATACAATTTTAAAATTAACCATCGGGATCTTTAATCACATGATTTATAAGTTTAAAAATCACACTTTTTTGGATTTCCTCTTTTTCACTACTCTAATCCGTGATTAAATTTCTATCCATTATTATCCTGCTAAACTAGAATGCCATATAGTATTTTACGAACTAACTAGATGTTAACATTTAATTTTACTGCTTTGTTGGAAAATATTTGATTTTTGATTCTAAATTCGAATTGTGTATTATTCACTATGTCAAAAGTTCGTAAATGTTGCTTAGATTCCAGAGGTATTTCCGAAACTGTATCTTTTTTTACCCGGAAAAGCTGATGTTAAATTATGTATAAACTTGGAAAAAAAAAATTATTTATATTTGTTTATTAGAAAGAAGGAAAACAAATCTTTGTTTTTTTGTTCTGCACTGTCAGGGGTATGTCTAGGCCAAATTTGCTACCGTTTAGCAGTACCTTCATAAATTCAACTTTAGGAAAAACAGTAGTTCCACAAAATATTTTTTCTTAAAATTTTAATTTTGTGTCCCGCAAGGAACGATAATCCATATTTTTACCATATTTTTGTGTTGATTTTTTAATATAATTTTTAATTTTCACAAATTATGTCTAAATGTTCACAAAATAGGTACCTCTCAGAAAAACCTAGACAGACCCCTGACTGTACAGGTACAGGTTTTAAGTTAGTCAACCAGATAACCAAAAATTTTAAACTTAATAAATAAGTAAGTAAGGTGTCATTTTCAAGGTAAAAAATTGAAGATTTAGAAATAATGGCTTTTTACTGATAAATAGCAAGTTATAGGCTGATAAATGAAGGGCTACATCATTTGAAATTTTTAACTGTGGTAAGTGAATCTCTTAACAAAGCACAGTTATTTTTTAAAAAAAAAATTCACAGCAATAATAGAAAATGGAAAAAATAATAAAGTGAACTATATCAAGACGGTATATTTTACACAAATGTGTAGAAATATTTTACATTTTGATTTATATTCAAATGATCAGGATACACTTTTGATATTTTACATGCAGCACAAAATTAATTGTACTGTGCCACTAGTATTTAACATAATTAATTTTTTTTTCTGTTTAAAGCAAGATTTTGATGATAATAAATATTTTTATTGCAAATTACTAATTGAAATAAAACACGCTGACCTGGAAATTTTAAGATTTTTACTGGAAAACTTGGAAAAATAAATTTAAAGCCTGATTTGAGTGGCCAATGGAATATTTTGGCGAAAACATGCTACACCATAAACAGACTTTAGAAAATGACTAATACACAGTATTTTTATACCAATAAGGTGCAGGTATTAAATATAGTTCATTAAAAGTTAAAACTACATTTAATTTGTTTAAATGACATTTTTTAATATTGCACTTAATCTTAAGCCTGTCCTTCAGTGCTCTTTCTAGATTTTGAAATTTTGCTTCATGTGAATGTTGTCATGACATTTGATTACTTTCTTCTTCTGCCAATTACATCCTCATTTTTAATTATTGTAAACAAAGTGCTTTTCAGGATCTTGAACAGTTTAGCAATTTTTGGTTTTTATTATTCTTTTATCCACTTCCTTAAGTATATAGCGTTCTGGGTGCCATTCTTCGGTCATGAGGTCTGAAATCAGTCTTCAGTAAAATCAGTGGACGAAATTGTGTCAATATCTCTTTCCTATTAATTTTTTAAATCAAATTTTCTTTTTTTCATTGAAAATGTAACATATTTTTTGTTGTAAAAACGTTACTTTTCATAATTATTGCAAAAAGATCAAGAAATGATGTCGCGCTACCATGAAAGAATGGTGGTGTCAGACTTTTATTCATCTTCTTTTTGTAGTCTCGCTAAATCTTATTTAAAATGGAATTGATTAATTTCAATATCTGTTTATATAAACAAAATTTGTACTATTGTTAAATTTAAATCTACTCATGTTTGCATTCCCCCTCCAACGTATGTACATACTTGCCAAAACTTAACCAAGATTATTTTTTTTGAAAAAATATAGGGCTGGGACAAAAAATAAATAATAGTGAAATGAAAAATAAAAAGAGACATGAATGGTTTCTTTTTGTTTTGTTAACTAAAAAATTAATAAATAAATGAAAGAAAGAATTTTTTAGAAAGAAATAACCAAATGACTGATGATTTTGGTGTCACAGAGCTATAAATTTCTGAAAAGTCTGGTAAACAATGCTAGACAGTGTTAATTGGTCAAAAAAATAGGTTCAGTCTTGAAGGTTTTTTTTAGTGATGCACCTATATGTTGCACTAGTTAAAAGTAGCCATTCTAGCTAAAGAACATATGAGAAAGCTAAATAAAACTAAAATCAAGAAGAATTAGATTAAGAAGTTGAATGATATTTGAATAATTATAACTCCAAAATAAACTACCACTTACAATGCTTCACAAAAGAATGAATAAATTTTTTTTAAACAAGAATAATATGATTGTTGAATATATTGAACCCCTTGAAAAGAAATTTTGAAAGGTTATGATTATATAGGAAACTCCAATTTCAAAATAAATAACTTGAGTTTTGGAAACAATCTGATGTTTCTATCTAAAAGCTGTTTGGTAAATGATCCAGTACTTTCCATTAATGACAGGTTAACCAGATTGTTATTCACAAACATTTGTTCTTTCATTAAAAAGCTTATACTTTCATTAAAGCCATTGACGCACATTTGTCATTCATTATACCTTCATCATAAACTTGAACAAACTGCCATTAAATTTCAACAGCACAAACTTTTTTTGCATTTAATAACTATGTATTTCACAATCGACAGGGTTACCGATTAACACGGTTACAAACGAAACAGTATAACCATACAACTAACAATGCTAGAGCCTCAGGCAAAACTACAGCTATGTGCTAGGACTGAGAGAATTGCCGACCCTGAACTGACGTCTCTTGGCAGAATGTGGAAATACGATAACCAATTGGTTCCTTCTTTAAAAGTGACCCTTGTAAATGTTATTATACAAATAGTTATATTTTTTTATTACTAGAACTTGATCAGTCATTTTTCTTCTATTTTTTTTTTAAACATAGAATTATCAAAAAAGTTTTTCATCACTATTTTGCTATCAACCCTTAAGTTAAGAATTGATTTTTGAAACTCATCTCTTATTGCTTTGTATTATTATTATGTTACTATTAGAATTGATTTTTGAAACTCATCTCATATTGCTTTGTATTATTATTATGTTACTATTGTTATTATTTTATAGAATGAAGCCATATGAAGAGGAAGCTACAGTGAAAAATTGCATTAGTGCTGCAAAATCATTGATAGATAAGAAATTTTATCATCTTTAAACATTTTCTGTACCTGAAGAGGAAGTAATCATCATTTCTTTAAACTCATTGTTTTTTATGAACTAAATATTTCATCAAGTTAACTTTGCTCTGTTCTGTAAGCTAGAATGTGGTCTGCTCTGAAGACCTGTTACCTTTTTTAATAAAATATTATGAGACATTTTAGTCAGAGAGGAGATTAATAAAAAAGTTGAGGCTTTTTTTAACAGTTGTCAAATTTTAGCATTTTTTCATGAATTTTCGATTAAGAAATATTTTTTATTATACTTATTATTATACTGACTTATTATTTCTATAGAGAAGTTCTTTGATACATCTTGTGATACATCACCCCTCGAAATGTACTCTAACGAGTAATTTTGAGCAGAAAAGTATTATGGTTAATGAAATTGATCTAAAACAAACACAAACTTCCATGAATTTGCTTAATAATATTTGAAATTAAACTAAATAATTTTTTTAGTACAATACTAATGCATTTACTATTTGTACCTTAATCAAAATGTGACAGATTTCGAAATGAAATACATTTAAAAAAAATTTCCATTTTGAAAGCATTTACTGTTAAATGTAAATAATAATAAAATTGTTTTCCGTCATTTTCCATTGAATCGAGGTACAGATTGACAAATAAAGGATTGATTGCCTTAAGTAAAAAGAGAGTAATTTTTATGAGTTTACCAAGTATTAAAAAGTAAATAAAATTCTCTCATTCTTTTTATTAGTCTGCTCGAAATTTAGAATTTCTAACAATGTGATTTTAATAATATTTATGATTTTATTACTGTAATAATAAGTTGTCAAAGTATTGTTAATTTTTTAGTGATCATTCAAAAATGAATTTTGTCATTCAGATTTGTGAAATACTGTTAAGAAATAAACTATATGCTATTTCAAATTCATAAGTGTTATGAACTTTTAATAATTACATGTATGAAATGTTGCTGTTTCAAATAAAGTTATCCATCTCTTTAGTTTTGATTCTTTTTCTAAATTTTAGAGCACTACAGTAACAGAAATATCTTTATATTCTCATAAATTAATTGAACCATATATTTTGGCTTTATTTGAGTAATAAGTTTGTCTGAGAGTTAGTTTGATATCAAGGTTTTTGATGAAAATACAGTGCACTCCCGATTATCCGGGTTAATCACCGGGACAGGTCGCACGGACAATCGAAAAACACGGATAATCCGAAAACTCCTTTTATTAAAGAAAAATTCAATATCAGTACAAAAAATAAAAAAAATTACTGACATTTGCATGCATAACATCAAACTTGGAATTTTCCTTATTAAAAAATGTGTAATGCGTCTTCGCCATATATCGATACACATATTTTACGAGCCGCAGTAATGTCACCGTAATCAAATCCTCCCATATAATCTAATAAAGTTTCCACAGAGCAGCAGAATGAGAAATTGTATTTCATTCATTTACTACATCTTCTGCTTCAGTTACTATCATCACTATTTGATTTAACAACATAACGACGTTTTCATCAGTCAAATACTGGAAGCCAGGTTCACATGCATCACTTTGAAACCAATCTTCTAAATTTTCTTCATAAAGAATTTCGAAACCTTAGATTTCTTTTGCTTGTTCGAGAATACTGTTATCATATTTTTCTTGAACATCTGAAGAGGATTGTTCATCAAGAGGTATCATCTTTCTCCACGATCGTGATAACGTAGACCATTTTCCATATCATCCATAACGTAGACGATTTGTTCCATATACTGCAATCCTATAACGAATATTGCTTTCCAAAAATTTGGTAGTGTTATAACTTCATGAATCAATTTTTTTTAATCTTGAAAATGTTTCTCTTTATATTTTTTGTGTGACTCCGGAATGAGCACGGATAATCCGCAAACCGGATAGTCCGTGCACGGATAATCGAGAGTGTACTGTATGTCTGAACTTGAATTGTTACAATAAACACTTCAAAGAAATACTCTCGCAAATTTGCATTTTTTAAAATTGAGATTTGGGTTTTCATTTAATCTTACCATACTTAAGATTTTCCTAAGTTTTTAGTATTTTAACTGCTTCCAAAGCATAAAATTAAAATGTTCAATAAAATAAATTAGCTAAGGGAATTTTTTTGAAAGTTAATTATCAGTTTTTACAGCCTTTAATGCAGAGATCGCAGCTATTCGAATCGCCTTAACACAGCTCCAATTCCAACTGGAAAATTTTTCAAAGGCTGTCATTCTGTCGGATTCTAGGGCTGCTCTCCTAGCCATTTCATCATCGGAGGCTCCTGTGTCAATGCTTTGAATTGCCGTCTGACCTTAAATAACCTAATAGAAAGCCACTAAGAGGTTGCGTTGCAGTGAGTACCAGCACACTGCGGATTCCAGGGAAATGAATCAGCAGACTCCTTGGCAAAGAAAACAACCGAAATTACACAAATAATAAATAAACCAATTCCTTATCACACCGCCAAGCGGTTAATTAAAGTCTTTTTGGAAAAACATAGAAGAGGCAAACAAAGACAGGAAATGGATAAACGACATAAAGGATATTCCACTATGGCCAAGGGACAGGTCTGTGGGCACCTTTCGCCTCGCTACTGGCCACGACTGCCTTTCCAAAAATCTATTCCCGTATAAATATATTACCAAGCCCTATTTGCACACAGTAATATCCAAGAAGAAATTGACATAAACCACATTAGGCACTAAACTCGGGACACTTGTGGAAGAAGTATTGGAGAGCCCGTCACAAAATGAACGATCTATAGACTCTGTAGTTTTGTTTTTGTGGTATTGTTCATCTTTCCTTCTGTTTCTCATGTTATTGTCTGTTTTTTAATTACAGTTGTCTTGCGATCTGCCATTGCAAATAAAAAAATTTTTATCAGTTTTTTAATATTTTTCATGCTAACTACTTTCTTATTTTACTTCATTTCATTCTAAATATTGAAGAAGTAAGAAAAAAAAAATAACTATTGGAAAGATGACATTGATTTTTAAGGATCTTCAATCTTTTGTACTCGAGGGCCACATATGAGCTAAATAATATAAGTTAAGAAATTACTTTGTCTGAGAAGAACAAATTGAAATTGAGTAAATTCTATGTCATTCTTGGACCGAATACATTAAACACTTTTAAAATTACACCTTTACAGGGCTCTTATTCATTGGGAAAAAAGAGAGTGGACAAAAAGTCAAGAGAGAGATACAATTTTTCTCCAAAATTTGGAATTTAGAAATTAGAGGATAAGAATAGATTGTTGTAGTATTTGGGAGTTGATCATATAACTCTTATAGTGTTTTTAGATTTCTAAAGTGCAATTTAGTCAAGTGAATTAGAAAATTAAAATAAATCTATCTTGAACTGGGGGAAAGAGAAATAACAGATATCATCAGCGCATTAGACAATGAGGATGGAAACGAAAACAAGCACTCTGAAAAAGAAGAGATTGTAGATGATAACTAATGTTAGCCATATAAAACTGCATGTTTCAGAACAAAGAAACATTTGAATGAAATAGAAGAAATAAATCAACAAAGATATAAGTTTCTAATAGAAAGGAGTTGATCGTGCACATACATGCCAAGTCCTGGAGATTGAAATCAGTCTTGAGAAAAATCTTTGGACCAAATTCCATCGATATCTCTTTCCAATTTGTTTATTTAAGCTGTTATTTCTTGAAATTGTATCATATTTTCTGTTTGAAATAATAAAAAAAAATTATGAAAATGTTATTTTTCATAATTATTGCAAAATGATCAAGTAATGATGGATGAAAAATGATCATGTGGCATCAGCCAGATTAACTGTAACTGTATAGTAACTGTTTAGTTTTAGTTTCAGTTTACATTTATGTTAAGTTTCAGTTTGTGTTTGTGTATCTCGTTAAGTTGTTATTAAATGTGTTTGCGAGATGCTAGATCCTGCTCATTTATTTAATATGTACTGAAATAATACATAACAACACATGGTGGCAGCGGTAAAAGAAAACAAATTAACGCAGTAAGTTTTGACTCTCCTTCGATATTCTGAAATTACATCATGACATCAGCTCCTGCATATCATATAACGCCGCCAGAATCATTTCCTTTTTCGATTCCCTCGGAATGGCCTAAATGGAA